TAGGGTTTATAGAGTTTGGGGTTTAGGGTTTAGGGTTTGGGGTTTAGGGTTTCGATCTTGAAAGCTGTTTCTGTAAGCGTTGGTCTTCAAGTTTATTATCAGAAGTAGTACGGTAGACCTTCTGTTTCCCTGCGGTGGTCCCTTAAATTGAGGCCAAAGCCCACTTACAGCTCATACCTTCTCGGAGAGGTCTGGAAAACGATGCAACAACCTTCTCCGAGCATCCTCCACCTGGCTCAGCATCGGCGCAGGAGGCCCCTGAACCCTAAACCTCTACTGCAATGGTCTAAGTTATTGAGGCTGATCCTCCGCCCCACACGCTTCGCGGCCTGGCGTTGAACAGTTGTAGAGTCCAGCTTTACGCCCGTCGCAAAAACCCCACTAACCTATAGGCCATGCCCTGCAAATCCAATTTGAGCCGCCGAACACTTAGAGCAGGATTATGCTCGCGTATATGAAGCTTGGGCGGCTTCCGGAAGGAAAGGTGTTGCGGATCTTATGTCAAAGGCAAATATAATATGCCATAGAAAGAGCCAATGCCCACGCTACAAGCACGGCCACACATTCTGCAAGCCCTCTTCGGCCCACACAAACACGCCGCGAAGACCTACTAACACAAACGGTGCACTTCCCCAGCAGGTTGGTAACCATGTAATATGGCATTTATAAAACCCAGTAACCCCGTTATTGAGGCAACTGGAACAGTAGGGTCTTCTGGTGCCAAGGCTCTGTTCTGGAAAGCGATCGGACACATGGTTTACAACGAACATGGACGAGTTTCCTTCCTTAGGCGGCAGAGGCACAGAGGCTCATTTTGGTCTTGGGCTTGAGGGTTGAACTACTTGTTCGCAGGGTTTCTGTAGGTTCTAGAGTCGAGTATATATTAAAAGCCTACCGAAAAGCTGGGCTCTGGTACTGAAATGTGAGAGTTTCAGGTGTAGAGAAGCCTTTTGTTCGGGCCGGGGCCCTAAGTCAGGATTCTGGGGGTATCAGCATGATTCGCATCTTCACATCCCGCCATGTCCGCCCAAAACCCTAAACCCTAAACACTAAGCCCTAAACTCTAAGTCCGAAATCCAGTCTTCACCATCCCGCCATGTCCTCCTCAGCACACAAATGGTGGGGTATCGGAGTAGTCTGTAGCCTGTAAGGGCCTTAAGAGTTAGAATAGGGTTTTTTTGGGGGTCCTTATTACAATTATAGTATAATATACCCGAAACCCTATTGTAATTATTAAAGCGCCTACATTAGTCTTACATGTCTCCGGTTTGGGAAATGGGATGCTTGTTGTGTCTTCGATGGTAGCTACACCTGACCATAAGGACTTGCCACGAGGACGTGCAAGCTCAGCTGTTCTTGGAGGTTTTGTTTCACAAGCCCTTCATGCTTTGCTGCCTCTTCAGACCACACGCTGACCGGGTTTCACGGGTGCTTCAGTGTTCGCTTTATCCAACTCGGAGCTTCGCCATGGGCACTCGGCAAGCCTGGAAGACAAGTCTCACTTCAAAACCGACCCCATGCAAACCTACAGTTGCATCGGGGCAGGGGGTGATGAGTGCCTGGTGCAACGGACGTCAATGCTCACACCTGTGGGTCATGGAACAGATGCACCATGAAACGCAGCAGACAATGCTGCAAAAGTGGCTCTTGCACACAGTTTACATCATATGGCAGCTGAGCTTCTCCTAGCGGGTAGTTGTAGCCGGAATCAAGCATCTTGCTCAGCTTAGCGAGCTCTTCTGTGCAATCTGTGCTGACTGTGCCCAGCATGACGTCCGCCGAGATGACACCACTAAAGCAACTGTAACCTGCGAGCAGGATCGGTCAAACATCAGCTTTGCTACACAAGTGGCGACATTGTGTGGTGGCGGCTGCTGTCGTGAAAATTCGCATCATGTTGGTATGGTGGGTAGTCAGAATCATTGGATGACGGTGCGCTGCATTACAGTAGTATCTCAATATGTGCATGCTCAGGCAAGCTGACAGTGCCAATAAGCTAAAAGTATGTTGGCCGGAAACATGTACTACCGCAGCCTGAGTGGAGTGGGCTTGTGCTTGCAACCTTCGTGACGAACTTGGCGGGGATAAGTTCGCGCAACCAGATTATCCGACATGCTGCAGCCGTGGCATAAGAAACTCACAAGGGGCTTGCAAATTTCAGTCTGGTGGCTCCTAAGATAGAGCCGTGGGGTCATGCAGAGGGAGATGTATGATTGGGCCTGATTGCATGCAATCGAACTATGATGGCGTCGGGCATGCCTGGGAGCCTCCCTGTGGGCGGCTCGATAAGAAAAGCCCGGTCAAGGATTAGGGTTTAGGGGGTTAGGGTTTAGGTTTATGTAGGGGCCTTAACAATCGGAATAGGGTTTTGGGGTATATTACGGTATATTACACTATAATTACAATCAGGAGCCCCCCAAAAATAGTATATAGGTATATAGTTATTCAGCAGGAAATCTTAAGCAAGTTAACCCCAGCAGGGCAGCTGAGGCTTCCACTTCCGCAGTCAGAGATGGGTGCTGTCCATGACATTCGCGTGATGCCATCGGCGAACTGATAGAGCTTCGACCTCACAATGTCTATGGGTTTAGGGTTTAGGGTTTAGGGTTTATGGCTCTATAATTCTATAAGGGGCTTCGAGCATAGGGGCGGCTTTAGGATGCTTGTGCTTCAGGGTTTCAGGGTTTAGGGCTCATGGGGTTCAGGGTCTAAGAGTTTCCTTTGCTGACGTCGTCAAAACTTGGGGTTTGCGCCTGCCGTCCTGCCTGGACAGCCATAAGATCAAGACCACTCGTACAGATCGGGCGAGGCGTTTGAGTGCGAAGGTTTGAACCGGCAGGGTTCAGGGTTGAGGGTGCACGGGGTTTAGGGCTCGGGGGTTTAGGGGGGCTTAGTGTTTCGGAGCAGGAGATCTGTTAAAACTCAGGACCACGAAACGATCCAGCAAATAGAACCCGCAAAACGTATCTTGCGGTTCTATGGGATAAAGCGTTGTGAAGGTGTGTGTGTGTGTGTATGTGTGTGCAGGAGCTTCCGGGCCCAACTCTTCACATCACTGACTTGCTCTGTCAAACAAGGGCCTGCGCAAAGGGGTCCTGTTGCATCGAAAGCTACGTTATGCGTTGCAGGGGCCTCGATTCGTGTGCTGTACATTTCTGGCGTTTCGGACATGGGGCTTCAGGACTTAAAGCTTTGTGAGACGGCTGTGGGATTTCGGGCTTTTCTGGGGTCTACAGATTTGGCGCCGTTAGGGTGTTTCTGCTGGAGAGGGTTTACACTTGGGTCCCCCAAAACAGCTTTCGCCAGATACTCAGAGGGCTGAACGTCCCTTAACTCTGCAAGCATTTGTCAAGACCTCCTGCTCGAAGGAATGCCCACGCAAACGTGGACAATGGATTCGAGCTTGCTCCGCTATCGATATATCTGAATCCCGGACCAATCCCACAAGCTTTGCAACTATGAACCCGATCTCCTCGACCTCTCCCACAAGCAGAGGTATGTTTCTTACTAGCTTGCTCTACATCACAAAAAACTGAGGAAATGCAGAGCTCAACACTTGTGCTGTTGTATGGAGGACCCCTGCAGGACAAGCAAATTGCAGGAGACCCACAGGCTCGGAGCTTTATACAAGCGAGACTGGCAGAAGGCATTCAAGTCCATGCTGCTCGAGAATGCAAGAAAGATGCGAAGTTTTGCCGCGTGCCAGCAGAAGCTTCCGGGAGGGTTTTGGGGACAACATGTACGCTACGTATAGTCTCCATTGTAGTTCCTTTTTTTGGTTTAACCAACTATATATCTATATATATATATATATATGTATTAAGGATTTTATAAGGTATCCCCCAAAAGGAACTACAATGGAGACTATAGGTATGTTCTCACACTCGGACTCCGCCAGATAGGTGTCTCGGTTCGAGAATGCTCTGTGCGAAACAGTGTGTGGTTGAGGATTCTAGGGTTCAGGAACTGCCTGAATAATGCACCGATGCACCACATCTTCTGAGCTTCCACTGGAGACGAAGAACGCTGGGCCTGGCACAGGGAGAATACCCAACACCCTGAATCGAAAACTTGGACGCCATTCAAGAAGCACGCAAACCTTGCACAGTCCATATCTCAAACGTGTCCAATCGGTTCCGCATCTGACAGGCTGGGATAGGCTGGGTATCCCCAATCCTTGCCAGGACGATTCATATACAATAAAGTGCCCCTGGTCTGAACATGGCAATGTCATACAACCACGGCCAAAGACTGTAAACACCGTTAGAAAGACCCACACATCTTCGTAGAACATTCAAAGACTGCTTGTTACAGACCCTATAGACCCTATAGAATAGCGTATGCACACACGCAGAGATAGAGACAGGCTTTACAACCAAGCTCACCTCCAGACCTTGATTGTCGTTCTGGGACGCTAGGGACGTGAAGGTTGAGTTTTGCAGTTTTGTGGGAGTTTCCTGGGGCTTATACGGCTTGGAGCTCTAAAGACACTGTTTAGAGTTTTGAAAGAGAGATACAAGGTTTTTTGGGGCCTATCGGGGTTGAGCAATTTAGGGCTTTGGGTTTATGGGGCGGTGCTACACTTATTCCTAGTTGTTGAGTTCCCTTAGGCACATGCGACCAAGAAGATTTCTTCTCGCCGAAGACATATATTTGCGGCTAGGCCCACCGGGTGATTTCGAAAGTTTTAGGGTTTAGGGTTTAGGGCAAATAACAGGAGTACAAAGCTGCGGCTGTAGCAGCCGTGGTCATGGTATGCGGTGGTGGCATTGAGCAGCTGTCGCAAAAGCAAGGGCCGTAGCAGCAGCGGCCGTAGCAGCAGGATTTGTGGAGGTAGCGGTAGTGTCAGTAATTGTCATCGCCCGTGTCGTAGCAGTTGGTCACCTTGTAGTCCGACAGTCAAACTGCCAAGCGTGTGAAAGGAATGCATAGCAGGACAATAGCAAGAAGACACCGAAGGACGAAATTGTGAAAAACTCAGCCGAAGTACAAGAAGCGACAAACGACAGCTGCTTCTTGGAAGCTGTGCTCCAGCTTGGACAAGATCAGAGAGAGAAAGCGACCGAGAGAGCGGTAGCGAGAACTCTGACCTCCAAGCTCTGCACCGACAAAATTGGAACCATAGCCGTTGAACTCTCGACCCGGGGCCCGAAGTAGCCGTCGATCGCGAGAGAGAGAGAGAGGGGCAGGGGGGCTGTTTGAATAGATTATGAATACATTAACGAGTTTAGAGTTCAGAGAATAATCATAGCAGTCACAACAAGACTCAAAATCATGGAACTAAGAAGGAACAAATTTCGAGAACAGTTACGGTCCTAGTATTTTGTCATAGTCACGACGTTCCTTATCGTAGCCAGAGAAGCCTCGTCCGCATGTTGTTGCTGGACTTCGAAGCCGGGAACCTGCGGGAGGCGAGCTGAAAAGGCTTGCAGCCTAGTATTGGGGCCTCAATAATTATCGATGTTATTTTAAGGGCTCCTTTTCTTATAATTATCTATATTACTTTGAGGGCTCCTTATTGTAATGATACTATAAAGGAACCCCAAAGCCCTATTCTAATTATTAAGGCCCCTATATATTAGGGGTCGAAGGCTGCGGGTTTCTACAAGGGGTTTTCGGGCTATATGAGGTTTCTGAAACGAAGGGGTTAAAGGGTTGGGAGGTTTGAGATCTAATTTGGGTTGCTTGAGAAAGTTGCGACTTAGGCTGTACGGGTTCAGGGTGTGGGATTCCTGCAGGTTGGTGGACGTCGGGTTGCTCTTCAGGCTTGCTATCCATGGTGAGT